CTTTGTTAGGGCCTTAACTCTCATTTCCAGAACAACTAGTGAATTGCCTCGGTGTAGAGTTCGCGGTGAAAGGCTGGCTTTATTCACATCAGTGGAATAAAATGAGACCAAGCTCTTTTGGGAGGGAATGGCTGGGCAAGATTGGGTTTTCAACACCAGTCCCAAAAAAGCTTACTCCGTGGTGGCTGTCGAATATGTAAAACTGGAGTGGAATATCCCAATCTGCTGCTTGCGGAGGTAAAGCAGTTGTCACCTGAAACCCTTCAGGACTTAGAATTTTCTTAATGCTCTGCCTTGTTGTGTGAGCCCATTGAAAGATCACTTCAGAGGGCACCCATTTCTTACTAATGTAAACTTTCTGAGGAGTATCCAAAGATATGACCTCTGGGTGAACCTTTAACCTTCCCCTTAATTATTTGTTTGAAGACAGTGTCGAGTTCTCCTGCTGAGAGCCAAGGCCCATAATGCTTCGCAGCCCTGCGAGCCGGGGTGTGTGTGCAGGGAAGTGGAGAGGGACATAAATAAGGGGACCACCAGATGTAAATAATAAAAGTGGTTGGGGTTTAAATAAAAAACGAAAAAGCAATTTGGTTTCCCTGAAGAGTGACCTGATTGAAGAAAAGGGGTTAGTAAGACGGAAAGTGTGTGCTGGTGGGGGGATGTTTCTGTTGTCTGTGATTTTTTACAGGCCTAAATAAGCGTTCATTCCATTCTTTAAAACCTTGCCATCTGTATACACCATTAGAAGCTCATAGGAGAAGAGAAAACAATCTTATCAGGCTTTCCTGTTAATCTCTATTGGCCTTAACTTTAGCTGATAAAAGGCGTGCTGGACGGAGGAAGGTTCAGGTCAGGCTCCGTTTGGTCAGCGCCGTAACGTTACTGGAAAGCAGCTCAGCAAATTCAGTTCTATCGGGGACCTTTGTCTTTGAGGATGGAAACATGCCTCGAAATCACAGCGCTGGGGTAGGAGATGCCTTTGCTGTGCCGCAGTCAGAAGGGAATAAACAAGTACATCGACTGTGTCTGACTTTTTATTTTAATACCTGAAGTCATGACTAATTCTCAGGCAGGATGACATTTCTGACAACTGAATTACACTTTTCCTAAAGAATAAAGAATGTCTTTCGGATGTAAACAGAGAGATGCAAAAGAGCCCTTTAGTGTTACTTGTAGCATTTATGCATCTGTCTAATGAAATTTCCCCGACTGTGATTACGGAAGATGCAATCGAAGGTGTGCCACTGTCTTTTATTATCTGTGCAGGAATTTAACCGGGGGGTGGGAGGGGAGGGAGGGAGGGGAGTGCGACAAAAGGCCTTGCGGAGCTGGTGCTATATAAAGGCTAGCAATTTACTAAATGAGCAGATGAACTTAGTTTTCAGTTAACTGACTGAAAGACATCGCAAGGTGTTGGATCGGGCCCAATGGCAATTATTGGAGGCTGTTTTGGATGATGGGCATGTTAGTATTTCTGAAGAGGATTAAACACTAGTATTCGACTTCATTAGCACTCCTTAAGGGTCACCAGCCGAAAGCCTGAGCTGTGAAATAGCACACAAAACCTGCACGAAGGCTCCAAAGTATTCTCAAACACAAAGAGGGGGGAGAAAAACAAGCGTGGCTCCTGACTGATAGAAAATTGCCCTGTTTTGAAAGAAACTCTGTCAATGGCAAGTTTTAAAATTATTTTAGGGAAATTAATTTGGCTTAGCTTGTGCCGATGTGGATCGCTGCGCATTAAGCTAATAAGAAATATGCAAGCACTTATTTTTGGATTACCAGCAAAATTAAATCCAGGCTCCGCAGCCAACTAACCGCCTTCCCCAGCGCACAAAAGCCTCGGCAACCGCCCTGGTTTGAGGGGGGTGGAGGAGGAAAAAAAAAAAAAAAAGTTATTTTGGGCCTAATATTAACCACATGTACCTGCGACCGAGGGTTTCTAACGAGTTGAAAGGTGCCTGGGTTTAGGGCGGGCGGTCGCCTTGTGCGGGGTGTCCCCGCAGAGGTTGCCCCCAGCTGGCACTGACCTCCAAACGACCTCCGCCTTTACAGGCTCCGACTGCAGGGGCTGCAGAAGAGCAGAAGTCTTTCTGGGCCGGCACTTATTGCTGCTGCGCTGGTGATAAAACTTCAGACAGCCTAATTGATGGCTTTGCTGACCTAACGATACCTTGTGAAAGCACGGAGTGGCAAAGCCTGGTCCTCATTTATGGCCAGCTGCAAGGGGTAGCTGGATCCCTAGGATGGGCGGGGGAGGGCGGAAAGTCTCCCAGCCTGTGAACTTTAACCAGGTTCCGAGCCACTCGAAGAAGTTAAAGAAACAATTGTCTTTTAACACAAGTTTTCGGTCACGTTTACTTGTTCAAAGCCTTCTGGCAAATCCAGCTTTAAGCTGGCTAGTAAGATAAGCGTGTTACCGGTTACAATTTCTGAGCGCTTAGAGGAAAATCCTTTAAAGTTAAATTATACTCTTTTAAAAAAGCAACGTGAAGCAAAA